CAAGGTCCTTTTCTGATGGACATTCTTCCAGCTACTCCTCCCTGAGCCTGTAGCACAGCATGTCATTGTTGTGATAAGTGCAGGACTCAGCACTTGGCCCTCTTGAACCTCATACAACTGGCTTTGTCCTACTGATCCAGCCTATCCACATCCCTTTGCAGAGCCTTCTTACTCTCCAACAAATCAAAATTCCTGCCCAACTTTGTGTCATCTGTGAACTTGCTGAGGGTGCAGTTGATCCCCTTGTCCAGGTTGTCAATGGAGATTTTAAACAGCATTGGCTCCAATACTGTGCTGTGGGGGTCACCACTCGTGACTGGGTGCAATTCCATTCCACCACCAGCTGGATGCGATTCCGTTCACCACCAGCTTTCTGGGACTGCCCATCCAGTCAGTTTTTAACCCAGCAAAGAGTACACCCAGCCTCACCATGGGAAGCCAGGTTCTCTAGGAGAATGCTGTGGGAGAAAGTATTAAGAGCTTTACTGAAGTCTTAGTAGACAACATCCACAGCCTTTCCCTGACACACTAAGTGGATCAGTTTTTCTCAGAAGGAGTCCAGGTTGGTCAGGCAGGACCTTCCTTTCGTAAACCCCTGCTGGCTGGGCCTGATCCCCTGTTTGTCCTGTACATGTTGCATGGTGGCACTCGAGATGATCTGCTCCATGACCTTGCCTGGCTCTGAGGTCAGGCTGACAGGTCTGTAGGGAAGCTCCTTCTGGCCCCTCCTGTAGATGTGCGTCACATTATCCAACTTCCACTGCCCTGGAAGTGAGTGGAATCATTTACCAGGGCTGCTGATAAATGATTGGAAGTGGCTTGTTGAGCTCTACTGCCAGCTCTCTCAGTACTCAGGTGAATCCTTCCTGGCCCCATGAACATGTATGTGCCTGAGTTGCATAGCAGGTCACTGACAATTCCCTTCTAGGTTACATGGGCTTTGTTCTGCACTCTGTCTCTTGTCTCCCAGGTCCAGGACTGGATACCTTGATGACAGCTGGTCCTGTTATTAACAGCTGAGGCAGCAAAGGCATTAAGTACCTCAGGCTTTTCCTCAACTTTTGTCACTGTTTTTCCAAGAAAGAATGGAGTGTTTGGGACCCTCCTTTTCTTTCTGATGTGTGTGTAAAATCATTGGTTATCTTTTATGGCAATGGCCAGATTAAGGTGGGCTTTGGTCCTCCTAATTTTCTCCCTGCATGGCCTCATAACACCTAGTAGTCCTTCTGAGCTGCTGATGCCTTTTTCCAGGGGTGATAAACTCTCCCTTTCTCCCTGAGTTCCATTTAAAGCTCTCTGTTCACCCAGGATCATCTTCTTCCCCACCCACCCACCTTTTATCACAAGGGGATGGCCTATGCCTGTACTTCTAAGATTTCCTTCTTTAAAGCACATCCAGCTTTCCTGGACTCCTTTTCCCCAGATATCATCATCTGTTTTTCTGCTTAAAAAGCCATCCTGTTCCACAATGGAAGCAATCATCCCTGTCTTGATACAAGTAAAAGGAGTCTTTTGTTAGAGTTTGTGGACGCGTTTGGAATTTTGACAATCCGTCTTTTCTCCCATCTCCTGAGAATTCATCTATGCTTGCAGCTGCAGATTATTTGGGTTGAATTGTGATCTGTGACCACAGCCATTGCAATCTGCCTGCCTTCTGGTTGGAGGCATCTGGCATTCTCACACAAGTCCTTGCTGCCATCAAAATTACACCAGTACTGAAAGAAAGTCATTCCTGTGTTGGTATCCCCATAGATTTGGCAGAGTCAGAACTAGTGACTCTAGGAAGGGTCTCTTGCCTTCACTGTCATTGTCTAACACAAAATAAATTCCAGATTGATTGGGAATAAACCAGACCTGACAGGCAACATCTAATCCAAAAATCAAGAAACTTTTTTACATTAGATTTGGGACAAAAATAGCAGCAGGAAATAATTAAATGCCTTTTGCTGCAAATGTGCTTTAAGTTTTGCTTTATATATTAAATTATTTATAAAAAGGAGTAAACCTACTGTTTCTCTAAACACAGAAACAGAGAAGGGAATTGATCTCTTACATCCCCATCCCAAAGCTGAAAGAAGGCCTGCATCCTTTTCTACATTGAAGGAAATCAGATAAACATGTACACCTCTGCATTCTAATTGCATCATTCTCCCTTTGGAAATTCGGAACTAGTTCATACCATTTGACTTGAGGGTCTCAGACATCCCACTGAGGTACCAGTGCCATGTACTGCTAAATTCATAATAGATTCATAATAGCATCAAGAATTTTTATCACAGACTTAATTTTCTTTTAAAACTGGTAAGGACATAAAGTTTGTTTTTATATTGATGCCCAGCTGAGAGAAGGCAAATTTTGATTGGCAGAGTAGTTCCTGAGCTTGTCTTCATCAGTCGATTTAATCATGTTTCTAAAGTTCATCATCTCTAAAGAAGTTCTGCCTTGTAATCAGATACTTCAGCAACAAGCCTGTTTCTTTCATGTTGTTTTCATGTTTGTTGTGAAAGGAGAATTCTCTAAATTCCACAGCACTACCTCAAAGAGATTACATAGTTGAATTATTTAGTGTATTAGTACACACTGTAAGTTTTGTCATTGGAATTGTCTAGTAACAGTTTTCATCTGCTTAAAAAATATTCTTACATTCCCAATCTGTGAAACAGCTGCATTTATCCATCTGTTCATTTTCATTAAACATTGTGTATTGAACTTGTTTCTAGTTCATTGTCAAAGCTGAGAGAGGAATAGTGTATTTGAGGGATACACTTAACACTCCCAGTCTTTGACAGTAAACTGCAGTGGGAGTCACATCAGTACAAAGACAAAGAAAAGGTAGTTGTCACTTATATTGCAGTAATTGCAGTTATATTGATGTAATCAATATTGATCCCACAGTCCATGCCTTTGAAGACTTCAAATTCCAGCTGTTTTGAATTACAGGAGAATCACTAGAAGGTCATGTTGGAGCTTCCCCTTCTATCTCCCAGTGCATGAAGAGGCACAGGGCATGTACATAGCACCAGCAGATGTTAATGATGTTCTAAGCTCCTGTCTAGAGTTACAAAATTAATGTCACTTTCTTTTTGTTCTCCAGAAAAACTAATAAAAGGGATAAGAAGATATCAAAGTTAAGAGAGTGAATTAGATCTCTGGACTTGAAAACAAGAAATGTACTGGGTTTAAATCATGAAAATATTTAGCTGTTTGCAGTCTTTCATTGCTGCCGGTGAAATGTACAAGTGTAACAAATAGTAGAGTTTGACCCTAGGGATTTTAGTGAAATATATTAAAACAGATACACTTGTCAGGTGATTAATACATAAATAAGGATTTCAGCTGAGGTAGGGTCAAAATAATAATGGCTAATTCTAGTGATGTGCCAGAGATGGTGGTGGTTAGATTTATGGTTTAACAAGAGTTGAGAGGGGATAAAAGAAAGATTTTTTAGGGTCAAGGAACATTCTACATTATAAGGTTTTGACAGGCAATTTAAAGTCTGGGAAAGAAGCATAATCGTACAGTCAGAAACTTGGAATGAAGAGACTATGTCATCTGTAGTGAGGGTTTCAGTCTTTGAAGTATTCAGTAACAGGTCTTTAGTTGCATTCTGTTTTTTTGTTTTTCTCAGGATAAGGGGGAGGCTATAAGGCAAAGACCTAGCACACAACCTCTTAATTCAGCAGTTTTTATTGCCTGGCTAACTAAACTTCCATTGATGCTTGCTCATCTCAAGTAAGAGTTGCCATGGTCAAAAGAGAGAGATGTAAAGATCAGAGATGAAAACAAATGGGATGAAGAATTTTTTGTCATTTGCATAGAGGGAATGAATAAATTAATAATGTTGACTATAGCAATAATCTTGCTTCAGAGGGAGAGAAGTAGCAGAAGCAACAAAGTACAGTGAATTATTTTCCTTATATTTTGCACTAATAGTTAAAATACATGATTACAGATTTATTTTTTTCCCCAGTGTATTTTTATTCACTAGTAGCACTGAAAGACTATTTTAGATGCTTTGCAGATAACTCTTGTCATGGAATGAGCAAACCAATGTTCCACCAAGAGTAGAGTAATTACAATAAAATTAATTTTGGTGGCATTATAGAGACATTGGAAGAGAAGAAAATAATCCACAGGCAGCATGAAATTGCTTGAGAGTATCACAGTATAGCACTAAGGTAGGGGGTTTTTTCATATTTTTTGCTCTAAAAGTTTAGATGCTGAGTTCATTCCTTAATCCCTGGTGATCAAGGTTCCTTAAATTCCCGCTAACACTATGGAAGGTTGATTCTGTCTCATAATTAACTTAGCTAAACTCTTTAAAATGGTATCACCTTTCAAATTAATGTGGTTGTGGGGAATTAAGTCATTCAGAAACCTAATTTATGCATTACCATTATCAGAGCAAAGTGTCTCAGTGTTTCTGGATCTGCTCATGGCCTCAGCCTCGTTTTGTAGACTAGTGTGGGGAATGGGCATGTAATGGGGGGTTGTGCAGGAGGTTGAGCATGAAGTGCTCGTGTCTTAGGTTAGCCCTGCAACACCCACAGCACCCTCCTTCCTCTCCTCCTGAATTTTTTCTTTCCCCTTTCTGTCTAACCAGGACAGATCCATCTGCTGGGAAAATCATTTATTATAGTAGGTCATTTAGAAGTTCTCTTAAATTTGCCTCTTCAGAAGGATCAAAAATGAAAAAAAGAGAAAAGAACATAATTACTGCCTATCCTTTTGAGCATTGATTTGGGACCAGTAAAAGACTCAAAATGAGTCTGGTGAGCTTTCTGTCAACTGTGTTCACTGAAAGCACTGTATTGTTAAAGGACAGTGGTAGTAATTGCTTTGTGCCATTGCTGAACTATTAGTCTGCAAATGCTTGTTCATGTAATTTAATTTTTTTAATGTATGAGTTGCTATTCCACTGCAAAGCATGGAAAGTCATTATTTGTGCAATTTGTCATTGTGGTTAAAAGCATCAAATAACCTGTATCCTCTACCACCAGCAATGCATCTGTTTGGCCTCAACTGGCAGTTGCAGCAGACTGAAAATGATACATTTGAGAATGGAAAAGTGAATTCTGATACTGTGCCAACACATCCTGTAACAGTTCCTGCTGGAGACAGTGGTAAGTGAAATGACATCATTTTTTTCTTCCTTCTTTCGGGGCATTTCCTTCCTTTGTGTCTTACTTATATCATCAAACTTTAACAGTTTGTGAAAACTGAACATTAGTAAGTAAAAGTAATTTTAAATAAACAGGAACACACAATTTCTCCTACCTAGCATGTGAAGGGGCCTATGGATCCTGAGCAATAATGCTGATCTTGTTAGGAAAGGTAGCTGTCAATCAAAATTCCTCACAGGAATTTATATGTGATATTTGATGAGGATAGGAGAGCTCTCATCATATCTAGAGAAGCAGAATCTCTGTTTACTCTAAAATATATGATAATGTTTGTTGTTGTAGTTGTGGGGTTCCCAGATATAGCAGGATGGTGCTGAGGCTGGCTGGGACCATCCTGCCATTCTGAAGATTTTGCTCCAGAAGTCGCACTTCAGGAATAATTTGCATGTTTTTGAAGCTTCTCTCGTAGCTGTGCTTAGAAGGCAATTCATGATCAAGGAGCTTCATGTGGCATGATGACCTCACTATGGAATATCTCGGGTTTTTCTCTGCAGAGGTTGATGTTCTCTCTTTTTTTTTTTTAATTTCTCTCTGAAATTTTATAGGTCAGGTATAATATGTACATTTGTTTTCTCAGAGTCTCTAGCATATAATGTTGAGTCTGAATCATCCAACCAATATATAAAGCAAGAAAAAAAACTTTCTTAATTTTGTTGGAAGAGCTTTTAAAATACAAACCACATAAAGGGATTATTTTTTATCGACCTTTTTCCATGTTGCCCTTTAAGATTCTCAAAACATTTAGGAGCTTGTGCACTTTTGGCTAACAGAGGCTTCAAAATCAATAGGTTTTGAATGGAAAACTTGATTTAAATGGTTGATGTATGCAGTGTTTGCTTCATTACACAAAAATCCATTTTCCCATTCACAAGGTACATCTGACCTCCTTACCACTGAGAAGGAGGAAGCCTCTGCCAGCAATTGACATCTTGAAAATTTTTCAAGTTATCACAGCTCCAAGTCATATAAAAGTTATAGCTCAGTTCACCCCTTTTGTCATCTTTGTAAGCCTGTGAAACTTTTTAAGTAGGACATTTTCTTCTCATTTCCTTTACCTTCCTGAGTTTTACTTAGTCATCATCATTTCCTGTGTTATTCTTATTTGTTTTGAATGAAGAGCAAAAAGCTACTCTGTGGTTAATGAATATTGATGCTGCAGTGACAGCTCATCATCCAATTGGCTTCTGCATTCAATAGCCAATATACTTTCTTTTATAAAATATATTGATGTTTTTGTAAATATTTTATAAATGCTTATTGGGTTTTTTCCCCTTGATAATTTTTAAATTTCTTGAGCAAACTAAAACCTGTTATACACTGCCTCAAAAATAAAAGTAAATAACAAGGATATCAAATACGTTTTTCCTTCCTTATGTCCATAAATACTGTTCAAGAGAACAGGGTTAATTCCACCCACTTAAAATGCTGTCCTCTGCAGAATATGGTATGTGGTCATTTATCAGCATGCATCAATACTAAACAACAGACAGACCAGAGAGTACACATTTTAAACCACAGAGGAGGGACCAGTTAGGCAGAAGGGAAAGTGTGATCACTAGATGTGAAATGTGAGGAGCGGGGCCCCTGGGCTATCACACTGGTTACTGAAAACTGTAAAGAAGAATCAATGAAGCCTTGATTCAGATAATTTGACAGCAGAAGAACTTTCAGTACCACCCTTCTCTATTCCCCTGGTAATGTCCTGATGCTCTGATTTGGATTTGAGAATTTTCAACCACCATAATAGTAAATGTGAATGAACATGACATTTCATGTTTTGATTTAGAAAATGGAAAAGAAATTATGACACTCTGAAGATTTTTCTTATGCTTATTGAGATACAACAGGGAACGAAGAATAATTAACGCCCTAACCTTAGGGTGACAAACAGCTACTGACAGTTTTGAGAGAGGTGTTGGGGTGCTAAAGGGGCATGTGGCTACAAAGTAAAACCAGCTTTATTTCAGTGAAGAGCATAGGAGTCTATAAGTGTATTATCTGCTGAGTGTTGAACTCCAGAAACAGGCATTCCTGGGAAGTTGGTTAATGTATTTGATAAATGGCACATAATCAAGCTGTCTAGCTGATCTTTTTAGTAGTACAAGGTGGTTATTTTTCATTTGAAATGTAGAAATAGGGGAAGTTGCAGATCAATATGGCAAACAAGTGTTTATTGTTTAGTGATTACCAGTCATCAGTGGGTGAATTTATTCAACACAATATGTTTAAATTTGAAGAAAAAAGTAAAAAACAAATGTTTAAATAAACTGAAATAGTGAATACAAATCTATCTTCTAGAATAATACACTAATATTATGAAAGGTTAAGTCCAAATTTAGAAAAGCATTAGATTCATCCTGAAGTGTTTAAAAACTGGTTTCTTCAAGATCAGATATTTCACTGTCTCTTCTCAACAGCACTCTGATCAATGTGATAATCCTGTGGGACATTTTCAGTGACTGCAATGCCGCTGTGACATAGCTCCAATGATGATACAAGTTCCCACTCAAGGCCTCTCAGCAGTGCTTCTGTACCTGTTTAATTCAACAGCAGTCTTGGTTCATCTTGGATGCGCAAAAAGTGGCGAGGATCAGTCTGTGACCTCACCTGGCATTTCAGATTTTAATCTAGTTTTTTTTACAGTCTAAATGTTTGCAAAAAGGTTGTGTCAGTTTGTTCCATCAAATGATGAATAATGTAGGATTTGAACATAAAAGACAAGGCTGAATTGTCAGTTCCTCAGAACACTTGTATGCAAACAAGTGAGCATCACATGAACATGCTTATCACATGCAAATGGATTTAGTTTAATCTTTATAATAGACGAGCTGATGAAGAAATATGAATTGATAAAAACACAATAAACTCCAAGACTATAATGACAGTTCCATTTTTCTTTGTATTGCTTCACTCAAGCCTCACCTTCATGTGCTGGATGCTTAAATATGGCATTGTTTGCTTGCACAAAACCAAAAATAGGTAACCAGAGCTGTAGCATTTATTATTATTGAATAAATGCTCTGATATTTAATGTAGAAAAGATTATATTAGTTCTCCTGGCTACTTGTGTTTATGTATCTGTTATTCTTAAAATCTCTGTATGCTGCATTTCAATCTTTTTTTTTTTTTTTTTAATGTGAGACTCTATTCTGAGAAACTCCTGTTAAAATGCTGGTGAAAAAAGGAATAGTTTAATATAGAATATAAACCGTTTCCATAATGCTCCTCCTTAGGGATGCTACAGCATTTTTAGTATGTAGTTATTTGTGGTATCTTTGCCTTTTTATTTCCAAATTATTGAATTCCTGGGATCTTCTATTCAAAAAGATTGTCAGTTAACATTTTTCTGAGGTAATTCTAAGTGTTTGAAGATATATATGAAGGATGATTGAAAGCCAGAAAGGAACACTAATTTTTTGATCTCCTTATTATTCTAACCCATCAGGTAAATTAGGAGGATTTGCACAAGAAAACAACACTATAGATTCTGGAGAACTTGATATAGGCCGAAGAGCAATACAAGAAGTGCCCCCTGGGATTTTTTGGCGATCACAACTCTTCATTGATCAGCCACAATTTCTAAAATTCAATATATCCCTTCAGAAAGATGCATTGATTGGAGTATATGGTCGAAAAGGCTTACCACCTTCACACACTCAGGTGAGATCTGCTTGCATTAAAAGTGGCACATTATTGAAAACCATGATCTTTTGTATCTTTTTTCTCTCTCAGGATTACATTTTTTTTCCATTTTGCTGATTTTTATTTTTGTTATTTATACTTTATTGATCTCTTGTGATAACCAGAATATTTGTAATGCTCTTGTGTTGGGATCTAGAATCGGGGCACAGGGTATCCTTATTTATGAGCTGTTCTGTTGCCTAATCAGTGATGCATCACATATGGAGTTGTTTCATGCAGAATTTATAGGTACTTTTTTTATTCTTTGGTATATGCACATATCTTTAAAAAAACCTAAGCAAACTAATACAGAATCTTATGGCCACACATAAGGTGTGGTTGAGAGTTCCTGCAAACAGAAAATTTCCAGATTTCTAAAGAAGACAAGCAAATACTACAGTATTTACAGCTTGGTGTCTCACTAAATAAAAACATAAAAGAAAAAATGTATAGTATGTATCTACAAAGATATAGTGAGCTGGGGTTTTTAAAGTGACAATCTTCACTAGGCATCTAGCATCTTGAAACTTTGCTCATAAGTGTCCCAGGGGATTTATGCTGTTCCTTCCCTCAGAAGGGGGAACAGAATAAATCAGAAGGTTTCTAATGACACATTTTATTGCACATGGTCACACTTCCTAGTAACAAAAAAACACTTTTTAGCCTTAGTGATAGAACAGTTAAAGTATAAAGGAATGAACAGTCTTCAGGAGTGGCAGGAGAAATAGATAATCAGTGCCTCAGATGGTATTTTAGCATCACTTGTATTCATATTATTTTAAAGATTTAAAACCCTCTAAGATTAAATTTCTTTCAGCAAAATATTTGTCCAAGTGCTGGCTCAGATCCATTTTTCCACCTGAATAGGTATTTTAGCTCATTTTCTTCTACCCCATTTGAAGAAACATCTTTGTGACTTTTATTTTGTGTGTATGGATTTGCCGTGGACAGAAATCTATGTATAACAACCTAATGGCATAATTGTATCAAAGCTTGACTGATTACATCTGATACATAGTTTTAACAGCAAATCCATAGCTGTAAAATTCATATATTTTAATTCAGTCCCATTTTTTAAAATTTTTATTTTCACGCTACTGGACTATTTAATTTTTTGGGTTTTTTTTTATTCATGCGTAACTTTTAAAATATGCACTATATAGAAATATATTACTAATATATTAATAATTATTACACCTATAACAGTTGCAAACCACAGAGGAAGGGTCAGCAAAGCAGCTAAAGTCATGAAATGTTACATTTACTTCATTTTGTAGTTTCCATTAAAGTACAAACACTTTACTGAGTGCAGGAAGTACACTCATGTTTACTTAAAAGTTTGATCTTCATAATAATGATTAAATAGATTTTCTTGAGACCTTCACGTATGAACACCCACCCTCAGGCTGGCAACAACCACATGAAATTCTAGCGTAAAGAAAATTGATTCAGAAAGTTATCAGCCATTTGAAATAGGGGTTTGGAATACAAATGCCATCTCAATGATAACAATAATAACAGGAGTTAGGGGAATACATGTGTTGCATGAATGAATGAAACTGAAGAAGCTGATCTAGACTATGCATTCATATGAGAAGTTATGCAAGTAAGTGCATCTATTAAAAAAATGATCTTTACTTGATTCCTTATCCTGTCAAAAGATTGAAATTGGAGTGCTATTTATCCAAAAACACAGAGACTACTGAATCTGTTTCCTGTCCTTTGTGTTACACAGACTCCAAGTTCTTACTACTGTTTAAGTATGGTACAACAGAAAGAGTAATATGCGAGTCCTACTTGGCATTTTGGATATACTGTTCCCAGGATATAGGTCAAACTCTCTTGTCCTATTTTTGCCTGGTATATCATTAGAGTATCTTTTACAAACCATTGACTGACACTTGATACATTGAAAAATTAGGCATGCTTACATATCAGTGCCTTAGTGAACTTATAAGGCTGCTAAAGCTTCCCAAGGATAAAGGTTTATCAGAATGTTTTTATGGCCTTGAACCCAGTGATGTCCAGGTTAAGTGCCTATGATAAAGCACATATGTAATCTCCTAAAAATGCAGTTTCATTAAACGGTTGGGGTTTTATTTGCAACCATGTTCCTTCATGTGGGGGAAAAAATGGAGTAAAATACTTCTTGACAATTTAGGCCTTTTTCCAACAAACTCCTAACACAAGACTTTGATGAAGACACAACTTGTCCTGGTAAAATACATATTTAACTGAAATAGGTTATGTAAACAAAAGAAGGTATTTTGGCAAAAAGACATCTAATGAAATAGAACAGTGGGGGGACTACAAGCATAAGTCCATTTATTGCTCTCTTAGTTTCCCTAGCTCTTGTACTGACAAAAGTTTCTAACTGCAAGCTGGGCGTAGGTAATAGGGACAGACTAACAGCTGATGTTTGGCTTCACTGCATCCTTCCATTCCACTTCCATCCTTCACTTCCATCCTGTCCATTAGACAAGGCAGCTCTACTCATGTGGCTCCAAATGTCACAGGAATATAGCAGACAAACACATGAATATCTATTCTGAGTTTGGTCAACGGCCCATCTAGCCTTCTGTCTGTGATAGTGGCCATGAGCAGACACAGAGAGATCAATAAAGCAGTATGATGGTATCGTAGTTATTCTTCCCACAATATGTTTTTGGCCTCCAGAGTTTTAAGGCTGAAGTGTTGGAGTCCATCAGGTTGATAAAGGACTTTGCCCCAGGCCCTGAAAAGAAGGATCTCCTGTATCTGGGGTGAGCAAAAGCTTACCCATGAGACCCCCTGCTCATGGGGGCTATATGTTAATCGTTCTAGAATGTTCTATGGCTTCTTATTACTGGTTAAATTTTGTCACATTAATTTACATATTCCCAATCCCCAGTTCTTATCGGTTCCTTCCCCTCAAACTCCACCCCTAACCTATGTTATATTAAATTATTAAATTAAATTAAATTATTGTAACACCCTTGACCCTGGTCTTTTGTGTGCATCCCCATATGCTGTTTGGATTCTTTGTCTGTTATTTTGCCTATTAAAGATCTTTATTTTTCGGGTCACACATTCATTCCTGTCCCTCTTTATTGCTGCCACCCTCGGACCTCACGCTGATTATCTCCGAGGTAGCACCCGGCCAGACCATCTGGGCCCAGCATGCTACACTGAAGGACTTTGCTGAGTCAAATATGCTGTCTTTGATTTGTCTACAAATCTTTGACAGATTCTTTTTTCCTGTGAATTTGCATAGTCACCTTTGAATCTATGGAAGCTTTTAGCTGTGACTTTTGCAGCAGGGCTTAACTACACATCTCACACTGTACTCCGCAGTGTGTTTTGAGCTTTTGTCTTACACACTGTTGGTAGTGTTTTGGAAGAGGCAGGGCAGAATTTCTCATTCATTTCGTCTCCATGCTACCCTGGATTTATGGATCTCTAGTGTTATCAGTGAGTTGTATTTTTTCTAGTCTGTTTTGTCATTCTTTTTATGAAAGCTTTTTCAGTCCTTTGAACATCCTTTTCTGAATGTTCTCCAGTTTAAATGCAACCTTTCCAAGGTGTGGAGACCAGAACAGCACAGAATATAAAAGCTGTTTAACTATGATGGTTTCATTCAATGCCTTAATGAGGTCTGCTTTTTTTCTTTTAAATTATCGAGCTTGTATTTCCATAATCTGTCTACCATAGCTCAAAGATCTCATCCTATAATGACAAAAATTGGCTCAGAGCCCATTTCTGGATGTGTAAAGCTAGGGTTGTTTCATGAGGACTTTGAAAAGTAGGATCTCACTCACATATATCACTTCATGTCTGTGTCTCTTGAATCCTATCTGCCCTTATCTTCTAGTCACACAGAATGACAAGTGCTAATAACAAAATTTATGCAAATGAGCAACTGCTGCTTTTAGTTGCTGCTTGCAACTGTGAGTATTTGAATTTTCAGATCTCATATTAAATAATAGAGAACTCATTACTTCCTGCACTCTGCCAGCATTTGTAAAGTTACCTTGTCACCTGTCCTTCTTGCTCCTATGCCTGTGATATGCTACATGTGTAACCACACAGCACAGTTTTCTTTAGCTCCCTCCTTCAGTATTTCTTCCAACGTCTGCCTTCTCTCCACTGTCACCTTTGACTGTAATGCAAAACTTACCTTTTACATTTGCCACCTTGTTCATTTGCCACCTTGTTCTCCACTTCTCTCCTGTACCCTTTGCCTGTTTCTCCACCTCTTTTTTGTACCCAGTTAAAACGTGACAGCGATGAAGAGGACACTGTAGTCAGTATCTGTCTCTAACTGTACAACCTCTGGTACCAATTATCCTACCATTGCAGGGGACATAATAAAAGTATGATAGAAATAAGCTTGGGAGAGATGTCAAGAAGTCAGTTTGCACCCTTGTCTTGTAATAGGATGAATTATATATAAACTATTACTATCAATTGCTTAGAATTCTATTATTAAACAGTAAGAGAATGCAGAAAATTTAACTCTTGTTCAGTCCCATAATCCAAAACAATAGGGATATAGCATGTAAGAAATGGTTTGATGTATTCATGACAGAATTTTTGGTTGCTTTGCTGTATTCTTTTTAGGTGCTAAAATTAATCTCAAACACAGCTACTATTTGTGTGTCACAGACTGATCTGAGATGCATAGTTTTCTTTCTGGGGAATCATAAATAAATCAACCAGAAATAATTGACGGTGGCTGTCCATTCAAAACCCAATCAATGCAAGCCTGAAAGTCTTTGTGACACTTTCTAAAAATGTCAGTTCCATTGCACCCAGAGAATCAATATGTTTATTTAAAGAGACTTTTAAGAATAAAAAAGAGGCTTTGTTTTAAAGCAAAACTGTATGGAATAGTAGGACAAATCATCACATTTAGACTCAATATAAAGGAAATTTATCCTCATAGGAGGAAAATAAAATTGGTATGGTTATGCTTATGAAGATTTTTTCAGTCTGTTTTTGTTACCATGTCCCAAATATAAAAAAGCATCCTCTAAAAGGGTTAGTTAAAATCAATTATTGTTTTTTGCTGGGGGACAGAATGAAATTTAAATTCCCCTCTGTATGGCTTTTTAAGTGTAGTCTAAAATGTTGTTCTGATAACAGCATATGTCTTTATTACATTACAGATACTAAATAGTGAATTGTACTGTGCTTGTCAGCCATTAGTGGCCAATCAAATGGTGTAACCACTTGTACCTGTATCAAAAATACAATTTTAACCTGAAATTGTCCTTCTACAAAAGTGGTCTCTTGCCATATACAAATTACTAAGTCATAATTAATGTCTATGTATGACCTGCTAAAACTCAGAGCTTCCTGAGCCTTCCCTTTTTAAAAATATTAAAACCACCAGAGACGTAGGAGTGAAAAAAAGACAAAATTGTTTTTCTTTCTCTCACAAAATAAGATTAATATTTAATTCTCTGACAAATGAGAATGTTGAACAGTTTTGAATAATTGCTCTCCCAAAACGATTGCATTCGTTTCCATGTGGTGCAGCACATACAAACCTGCTGAGGTACCGGCTTCTGCGCATCCTAATCACATTATGTTCTATTCTGCTCATTCAGACGTAGCTGGAAAAGTGTCTCAGGTATTGATAGAGTCATATTAACTATGCGTGTCCTTCACATCCTGGCTGGTGGGAAGATGATTCTGATTACTGGGGAGGAGCACCAGTGAATTTTGGCATGCAATTTAAAGTAGAAAACATAAGAACTTAAACCCTTGTTCCAGGACAAAGTCTATCATATTTTCTTTTGTCCCAGGAGCACTTTCTGAAGGTCACAAGTCATGGTGTAAAATCACTGATCCTCTGGTCCTGGAAATGGATTTTATCCCAGCTCAGGTGAATCAGTGGTTCCACATGCTGACCTTTACTTGAATAGGCCCTGGATATAATTTCATTTCAGAGAGATCTTCAGAATGTGGAAAGATTGATGGTTTATATGCTACAGTTCACTTCATATGATAAACATGTGTCACAGTAGAAGTGAAACTTTGAACAGTCTTAAGTAAAAGCAGAGACCCTCTACCACAAGCAAAAATGCTCTTTAATTTTCCTACCTGTTTAATTTTGCTCTTTACGTATTGATCTTTACAAGTTCAACATGCAGAAGACAACTTTCAAGCCATGAGAACAGACTCCAGATAGTGTAAAATCAGTGTAGAGCCTGGAGCAGTTTTATCCCTCCAGGTGCCGTTAGCCCTAGTTAAGGTGCATAAACATGCATAACATGCATAAAAACTTGTGTTGTGAATTTGCTTATTTTAAAAGCTGAGATGCTGCTACATTTTTCCAAGCCTTGTGATAGTTGTTAAAATACAGTATGTGCTGTCCATTGACATGAAGTACCATAGGGCTTGGTCAGTTTGTCATTTTTGATAGTTGCAATGTTTTCTATTTTCCATCACCTGTTTTGAGCTTCTGTGATAAGAAGTAAAGCTCTTGGTCTTCTTCCTCCAGAATTCCAGACTGTACAAAAGGGAGATTGAATCCTTCATCTAAAATTAAATGAAGAAAAGTAGATTATTGGATTATTTATTATTGGATATTATTATTAGCCCATATGTATGTAACACAGTTTGAAAATAGCTCTCACCTGTAATTAAGGTGCCAGTCATGACTGCAGACTCATTTCAATTGCTATTTTCTTCCCCTAGTATGTAATGGGTTCATTGGCCACTTCCTACTGAAAAATTCATTCTAATAAACATGAGAACTAGTTGGTAATTTTGTTTGAATGCTTAGCAAAGAGCAAAGAAATTAGAAAGGATTGTTTTCAGCTCCTGCTGTTTCCCTGCTCCAAAAGAAAATTCTTGGTCTAAATATAAGCATACTGTCAGGGTGGTGCCACAGTCATCCCATGACTTGTCAAGCTCCCGTCTGTGCTTCTTTGCAGTATGACTTTGTGGAGCTCCTGGATGGCAGCCGGCTGATTGCAAGGGAGCAACGCAACCTGCTGGAGTCGGAGCGAGCAGGACGGCAGGCGAGGTCTGTCAGTCTCCACGAGGCAGGTTTTATCCAGTATTTGGATTCTGGCATCTGGCACCTGGCCTTTTATAATGATGGGAAAAATGCAGAGCAGGTGTCTTTTAATACCATAATTATAGGTAAGCATAATCTTTAAAGCTTTTACAAAATGCTAGCTTGGGGTCAGGTTTTTTAGGAATTCATAGATAGGTTTTCGTAATTAAATGATCTGACTTTGTTTTTTGCAGGTTTTCCATTTATGTGTTTCTTTTGCTACTCAGAATAAAACAGAGTATATGTTTTAATTTCTTGATCTAAGGCTTAAGGGTTTTAATTTCTTGGTGTAAGGCATAAATACTTCAGGTGAAAGTGTGCTTGAAAGGAGGATGCTGTTTTGAAGTATTTGTTAAATGGCACCGGACTAGATTTTAAGTATGGAGCTTATATAGTTTTACACTTATAATTTTAGCCTTTTTGTTGGAATGTATGGTTCTAAGATACTGGGGGCATCAGTAGTAGGAAATCACAGCTGTTCGTGCTCTTCAAACAAAACAAATGTAAACACTTCTCCTGGGGAGAACAAGCTGTCAGTTAGCAGTGGCTCAAATGATAGGTACTTCACACAGTGGGCACCTGTGAATTATCCTTCTCTTTTTCCTTTTAGAGTCTGTGGTGGAATGCCCCCGAAATTGCCATGGTAATGGTGAATGTGTTTCTGGATCCTGCCATTGTTTTCCTGGGTTTCTGGGCCCCGATTGTTCGAGAGGTAAATCAACCCAATGCTTTTCTCAAGTCAGTTTGAGCAAGCATGAAGATTAATCCATCAGAAAAGCAACATCTCAGATGTTCTTCTTTATAAAGCTTTGGTGAAGATCTTTACTTTGATTGTTCTGCTGTGTTCTGTTTCACAGCAGCCTGCCCGGTGCTGTGCAGTGGCAATGGGCAGTACTCCAAAGGACGCTGCCTGTGTTACAGTGGCTGGAAGGGCACCGAGTGTGACGTGCCTACGAGTCAGTGCATCGATCCCCAGTGTGGGGGACGGGGCATTTGCATCATGGGCTCTTGTGCCTGCAACTCTGGGTACAAAGGAGAAAACTGTGAAGAAGGTAAATGCGTAAATATTTATGCCAGCACCAGCTGTTGTCAGTCAGGTTAACAGCTGGCTCATTCAGCTCTATGAATTTCTCTAGATTTAGATGTTATGCACTAACCCCATTTCTTCAAAAATCATTTTACAATACTACAAATCAAGTTTTGGAATCACTAGTATCACTGAATTCTACAGAATTATTGAACTCTATTCTCAAGTGAGCAGTGGGAAAATTCAAAGTATCATGCATGTAATCTTTTTGCTTGCCAGTATATTTGGGTTTTGTCTGGCTGAAGTCAGCTAAGAAGAAAGCACATGAAACACATATGTAGGAATTCTTACTGAATTTTCCAAGTATAGAGTAATTGTTAATTTATTGCATTTGTTAATAGTCTTTTCCACTGACCAGATTGTGGAAAGTGCTGTTTCAAATGCATCAGAGGGGAAAATGATGCATTATTCTTGTATTCCAGAGATGTGCATAATAATATTTATTCTGGTGTGCTGCAAAATGCAGTTCATTTTCCATTCTATTCTTTTTAGGAAGTAAAAACTGCTATTTTCTTCCCCAAACAAATTGATTTTATTGATCTCCACATACGAAGTAATGCAATTAAGTCTCTGGAATTAAATTTTCAGACCATTGACCCTACAAGTGTAACATCTTATTGAGTCAAATTGCTAAATTAAATCTCATCATCTAAAGCACAAGTGAATTAAGACAGATAGACAGTATGCAACTCATTCATTTCTGAAACAATTTGGGGGTCCTATACAGCTGTCAAAACTATATAACAGTGGATTGGTTCAGTTGTACCAGGGAATAGTGCTGCAGAGAATCCAACACTTACTACATTATGATTAGTCAGAGCCAAGATGAGTTGCCCAAGACCCAAAGCCAATCTTGCTGTAATTCAGAAAAATGAGCAAACCTGTAAAGATTCTCCATTGATTCAGCAGTAACCTGTAATTGTCTTGATGTCAGTTATGTGCATGCACAAAATTTACAGGATCAGAAGGTGATGTGAAAAGGAGGTGTTGTAGCAAGGAAAATTGCTGCTATGCAAGAAGTGATGACAGAGAGTGATTTACTTTGTAGCCAGAGAAGGGAGGCTGGCACAAAGAGATCTTAGTCCATTCCATCTTTTCCTCATTCGTTGCAATGAAAGAAAGGTGAACTTCTCAGCTTCAGCCTACTAATGTTTACTTCCAAGGTGGATGCAATGCTGCCTATTTCATAAGGTCTTGTAACGTGAATTAAGCCCAAAGGTGCCGTTAGCACCTATGGTTGATTACTGTTGTTAGGATTGACAGGTTTAAGCTGATCTTTCTCATCTCCCTGCAGCGGATTGCTTGGACCCAGCCTGCTCCAGCCACGGTGTGTGCATCCACGGTGAGTGCCACTGCAACCCGGGCTGGGGCGGCAACAACTGTGAAATCCTGAAGACAATGTGCTCTGACCAGTGCTCTGGTCATGGCACCTACCTTCAAGAGAGTGGTAGCTGCACCTGTGATCCCAACTGGACAGGTCCAGATTGCTCCAATGGTAAGAGTTAAAAGCACTGACATTTTATAAAATGTTGATGTCTTGAATAGCAGCATTTTAACGACATTATTGTGTTAGGACCTGACCTGCTGAGCTGATTGATCACTTTGAGTTGACTTCAGCATGAACTGTAAATTGATTCAAAGGTTCAAAATAATTGATGAGTTTGAGGGATTTGAAAATCTATGTATTTGTTTGTATCTTTTAGCTAATGTCCTTCATCTGGTAACTTCAGGTATTTCGCAAGCCAAGTTCAGAATGTTTCTTTGCATGATATGGATATTTCCTAATACATCTACTTAGGAACTTAAAATTACACTAGTGAAGCCATGGACATTCACATTTTAAGAATCTCCCCAGATAATTTGAGGTAATTTTCCTGAAAAACAGATAGCCTTCAAGTTTGAAGGCAAAGGGAAAGCAAGAATGAGTCTTAAACAGCTTTCGAGGCAGGCTGCAGGCTGCCAGGGTAGAAGGAGTTGGTAGGAGTGAAGAAGCAGAGGAATTTCTTGAAATATGGAACTGTGCTTATTAAAACCATCATTTGAGCTTAGAAACAAAAGGAGAAAACTGGAGGTACTAGCGCAGAGAGCAGAATCTAAATATTTATCAAGTATGACAGCTGCTTTTTGACAAATATGAGTTTTTAGAATCTTTGGTAGCCACATATCAAAAAAGAAATCATGTCTAACTGTGAGACATGTATTTGCGTATACTAGTTCATCTAAGAACTCAGACATTTTGTTAATGAAAACTGAACACATGGGCTAGCTGGGTTTGTGCCAGCTTATGAATAAATATAACTTTTTCATGAAGAACCATCTTTTTAAAACAAATGTACTTCCTGACCAGGATCTGTGATACTTCATAATGGTTTATGCATACGAGAGTGATAGAGTTCCAAACACGTAAGGAAAAGTGACATAGAGAAGAAAATGTTGTCTTCTGTGAAATTTGTTCAGAAGGAAAAATCCTTTTCTGTTTCTAGCACTAAAACTGGTTATTTGTGTTAGACCCTGTCTAGTTTTCAGGCAAAACATGGATCCCCTGTTTACTGACACATCCTCTATGCTTCTTTTGATGACCAGTTATGTTCCATCTTTTACTTACGTTTCTTGGAATAATTTGTCATTAAAATAACATAAAATGTTTCTGATCTCAAATATCTCAAGTGTGTCATACTCACAGAAGAATGTTTGTAACAGCACCCAGATTATTTGCTGAAGCTGTACAAAATGACCTTCAGAGAAGTACACTAAAAAAGTAAATCTTACCTATAAACATGTTGTTAAGCTGTTAGATGAAGAAAAGAATGAGTTATTTCCATCAGAGGGTTTTATAGGTTTGAAATCAGCAGAGCTTTCCTCTATCTTCATCAGCAGTTTGTCCGTTAATTAGCCCTTCAATTCCACTTCAATTAAATTAACTCTAATTAATAAATTCATTACAAAGATTGACGCACCTTGCTCAAAGCTAGTGTGGTAAAAGCTGATAAACACCTTCACCCTAATGAAAAATTGATTAGATTGAAGAGAAATAAACCTTTCTTTCTCAGAGCTACAGTGATGTTTTGTGACTCTGAAGTTAATCAAACCATCTTGCATCTTTTAATCAAAAATTTAATTCAAAGTAGATATATAATGCTATATAGTTGGTGAGGGGGAAAGGAGGAGGAAATTACAGCTGTCTTTCTCCATAAAGGTTTTGGGCTGTTTCTTACGGGAAATGTCACAGCTCCTTGATACTGTGTTTAATGTTCTACAGTGCTTTGAGACAGCAGGGAGAAAAACACTGTTGATCAGGAAACTGGAAACCTTTCTTGTATTGAATGCAAGTTTCTTTTGCTGTTAAAAATAATTTTGATCTTTTATTACTGAACTACTTGTTGCCTTTTAAAAAAAAAAAAAAAAAAAAAAACAACCCTAAATATAGCATTTCTATGAACCACACGTGGCTATAGCCAGCTTTATGCCAAGGAACTAAACAAGTCCCTCAGGCTGTATTGTATCTCTTTGTTTTTCTGTTTTGTGCTTAGCAAAAGTAAAGTTTGCTGGAGTCTGAATAAATGAACCAGAACGGTAAATGCAAAATCTGGCAGTGTAAATTATCATCTTGTACTAGCTGAGAGTTAATATGTGTTGTTTGGCCTCTGACTACCTTGGGCTGTTAACATATTTTTCAATTATTCTATCAGATACAAGATCCTGTTACTATATGTAAATGACAAGTTAAATTGCTGTATGTTGATTTATTTTTTTAACAAAGTATTATTGAAACCAGACTGTTCATAGCTGTCACTGATACAAATTTACTGAAAGTAAAAGAGTAAAATGATCTTTTATACTTTACAGATGTGTCAATGTGTCAGCATAGTGCTAATTTGTCTCACTAAGGCTGATTCTTTATAATGAAAACTGTGTCAGAAATGGCACATTTTAACTTTGAAAGAAAGCAGGGAGAAGAGTATGGAGAGGAAACCTTGCTAATTTGAACTTCGTCATAGTAGATTTTCATTAACAACAGACAGTGATCTAGGTACATGTTACATTTTGTCACTGTGAGTACAGTGTAACTTCTGGTAGGTCTGTGTGCCATAAAATCTAAGATACAAAAGGTTACTCTTAAGACATATGTGACCACAAAGAAGCATGCTTGAAAATTACTTCAATCTATCGAAAGAGCTGTGAACACTTAAACATCGCTAAAGTCTGCTGGCCAACTAAAAGAGCATTAGCAAAGAGATAAAGCTCTGTGCTCTCTATTCTGTTGAATCTTACCTGAAAATGTCTTTCACAGTAAATTCCTTTGATTTGACTTTCAAAGATTTTGCCTTTCTTATTCTTCACATGTTGAATTAAAATTTAGCGCTTATAATGAACATATTCCCTCTCTCTCCCCTGTTCTTGCCGCCTCCCTTTCTCCGCAGAAATCTGTTCAGCGGACTGTGGCACGCACGGCGTGTGCATGGGCGGCACGTGTCGGTGCGAGGAGGGCTGGACGGGCACAGCCTGCAACCAGCGGGCCTGCCACCCCCGCTGCGCCGAGCACGGCACCTGTAAGGACGGCAAGTGTGAATGTAGCCAGGGATGGAACGGAGAGCACTGTACCATTGGTAGGCTGCCTATGCTTTACCCTGTCCTCGCTGCAAAATTCAAACAGCCGGCGCTGCTGGCCACGTCTGAATAAGAAGTGTAATGCTTTGAAGAATGTTTCTTCAAGCAGAATATTTGCATGTGTCAGTCTGTGAAAAAGAGTTGGTATTTTAAGAAAGGAAATGGTTATATAATGGTTCATCAGTTCTTCATACCTAGTTTGCCATGAAAAGAAGGTGGAAGAATTTCCTCTTCAATCTTTTCCCTTTAACTACCTTTCACCGAGGGGGAGGTAACTTTTATTTTGAACGGTAAATATACTATTTGATTTGTGCTTTTCTATTTTTATATGATAGCTTTATGTCTTTTGGAAATGAAGCTTCCTATTGTTTTTCTTTCTTTTTTTCTCTTTTAAGGAGATGAAGCACTAAAAAGTGACTTGCCTACATAAAAATGTCACTTCTACCATGTAATAAATGTGATCTAACTGCCCAAAATTATCTTCTTGTCAACATAATGTTCTATTTTAGAATACTATCAAATTTCTTATGTATTAATAATGTAACAGCAGATGATTACAGCTGGTTGAGAAGAAGCCATCGTTATTACAACTTCTGTGTTTCTGTAACCAAGTTAGTTCTAGTGCCTGAAAACCTTTGGAGGCTACTATACCATTATCCAAATGGAGGTTTTCTAATCCTGTTATTACAGTCCATATGTCCCATATAGAGCAGAATATCCTTCTCTGCTACACAGGCTTTGACAGTGAGCTAGCATGAGAAATCATGGATGTAAATAGGTGGACAAAGGAAACATGGAGCTGTAGTGCTAAGAAATTCCCTTCCATGCTAATTCCCCTTTGTGCAAGATGCTGCAGGTCTGTAACAGTGGAGAAGAGTCCTATCCAAACAATTTTTATCTCAATAGATCCCCAGAAAAACTTCTGCATGACAACAGGTAGGAAGCACAGGCAAAGGAGCTGGCAGTGGTCTAACATGTAAGAGATGATTGGTTTGTACTTTGGTGAGTGGAGAGCATTGCATGAAGCTCATTAGAGGCTGTGACAGGAGTAACCATGTGACTGAAGTATTTATGGGGCACATCTCCCAAGTATGAGAAGAATCATGGCTAAGCACTTTGAGGTGGATTGAATTGGCAACAAAAGAGGTAGCCACAGGTCAGACAAAGGCAAACATTGCACTGAGTGATGAGGAAATCATGGATAATCTGAATAATAAAAAAAGTCCAGTAAGTAAAAAACCCCACATAGTTCTGTGTTTGGATAGATGGAGAGATGGTTAAAAGAGGTGATGAAGCTGAAGCAACAGGATAGGACAGTAAGTCTAACTGCAGTGGAGCTGATGGATATGAATGTAGCATGATTTGCTTTTGCCACAAGCTAAAAAGAGCCTGGAGAATTTTAACTTTCTTGGAAGTTTTGGCAGGGCTCTAGCTCTGAATGTGTTAGCACAGCTAAGCTGTACCAGGGACATGAGTATCTAGAAAAGAGCAAAACCCAAGCTGTGCTCTCAGGTATTTTGCAGCCCTGGCTGAGGGGCAGGTGATGGTGCTGTACTTGGTGCTTGCAAGAAGCAGTTCTAAGAGCTTTGAGGACAGGGAAGATGAGGACCTGTTGCAGCTGTATCAATTAATACGCACATCATTGCGCCCAGAAGATGAGGCAAGGTTTTCTTTTTTAGAAGGGAGCCAGGTGTGAAAGTAATAAGATTGACTTGAGAATTATTTCTTACAGCAATCACAATTGATTTTTAAAATGTGGTTGGTTGGTTGGTTGGTTGGTTGGTTGGTTTGGTGTTCTTTTTATTTACTAATGAAATTGCTCAAACTTATGAGGGAGAGGTAATCAAGATGCATGTGCAGAATTGCAGGGAGAATCAATAGGGTTAACGTTTTTGAGGAGCTTTCAGAAAACATGCTGACAAAGAGAGTGGAGAGGTGCAGAGAGAACTGCTTTCTGAACAATAAAAGAAAGTAAATATTTAGAAGTAGGATAAAGCCTTTCCCTTGACTACTTTAACTTGCCAACGAGCAATTACTCAGCAGATCACTCTGCTGTTGGTCTTGCTGACCTTGGCAGCATTTCAAGGGTTGTAGTTATACATGGATGAACTGCTCTTGAACAATTTTTCCAACATATTAAGCACAAACAAGTTTTTCCTCAGCACTGGGCAAGCAGGTCTGTCTTCCCACCTGTTTATTCGTTAAATGGGTGTTTACTTTGTGGCTGCAGCTGTAAAGATAGTTTGATTTGTTTATATTGCCCTTACAGCCTCCAAGGCAAGTAATGAGGTGCAGGCTTTAGCCTGCTGTTACATTTATTATTTTAGAGCTGTTTTCTTCAGGAGCCTCACGTTACAGAGAAGCCAGGTCACTTTATTTCTCATTTCCAATAATATTTCAACATAGTGGGGGAAAAATTCCTGCCTCCTTAGCTTGGCAGATGAAGAGTCAATTCACTTTTCTCTCATCTACCCTACAGTAGGTAGTAGCTCTTTCTGAGCAATAAATTTCAAAACACAAGGGACTTCAGAATGTTTCTCTGTGCAAATCAATTTTTTATTGTCAACCTCCATTTGTAACCCAGGCATTTTATGCTATTTACAACTCTCTACTTAGTAGCAGAATATTTGCATAATTTGTGTTATGTGTATGAAAGACTCCTACTCACTCTCCCTTTTTATGTCTAAAAATAAACAATTGAACCCTTCTTATTTCTAAAAGTCATTAACCATTTAGCTTCAGTACTGTGAAGTATTTTAGAAATGCAAATGTATTTCTTTGTTGCAGCTATTAGCTGGAAGGCCTATGAAGTGCAACAGCCAAAATTTACAGCTTCTTTGAAAAAGGAATATTCCAAAGAAGCTGTAAATCTTAAGGACAATTCACTTTACTCACTTTCTGGGAAAGGAATAGACCTCCAGATCTCTGTCTGGATATGCAAAACGGAGCAGATGTGTATGCATTACTCACAGAGGCACTAACTGGAATATATACTGAATCATCTGAATCCATAACTCATTTGATCAAAGAATTTATGGTATTTTTGTGAAGCATGAATGCCATTCAAAATGGTACCAAAAAAACATTTTGTACTTCAGCTAACAGTTTTTATGTATTCTTAAATGATCACTATCTGTCCAGTCTCATTTTCAGTTAGCCCACTGTTTGTATTGTAAGTTGACATGTGTTAAAACATAGAATGAAGGCAAAAACCAAACCTGTCTCCTTATTAAAGCAAGGTAGGTCCTTAGTTTTATTTCTCTCTGATATCATTTAAATCTTAGATTGCTTCTTGAGTTATGCCGATTTTTACATATACTTCAAAATATTTAAGTAGAACTTAGTCAGAGGAATTTCTAATTACTCTAAGTCAGATACCTATTTCATTGTTTTGGTTTTTTTTAATTATTTCAATACTTCAAGATATTGGGAAGAAAAATTGTAGGTGGTTGCAAAGGTTTGTGCTTTTTTTGTTCAGAAAAAAATTCAGATGTCTGCTTATCTGGGTCAAATATCAGGGTTTCCCTAAGGCTGAAGATGACAAGACTGGATTGGAGAAATAATACACATATGTATTTTATATACTTTGATTTGATAGAGAGCAGAGTAGACTAAATAAGGCAGGGAGGAGGGGAGGTCTATTTGTTTGAGGTAATGTGTATAGTAAGGTGGACAAGATATTGATATCCACTGTTCCATTATGGCTCTTTGGCACAGGGTACTGCAACTTCCATACCACACCTGATGTCAGCCACACTTGTGAGCCACTGCCTTTGCTCTGAATGCATACTTCCACATATTTTTATCAAAGATGTTCAGAGAGAAGTACATACTCAGCATTTTGATGAATGACTCTAATAGGAATTAGCAAAACTCAAAATTTGGTACTATTATTGAACATCTTAGAGGTTTGAACTAAATATAGGCAATGTATGTTTCAAGAACTAAATAATTTAAGGCACCTAAGTTGCTTATAATCTCTTCACTCTGGAGTACTGTAGTTGATCATAGGATCATGGAATAGTTTGGGTTGGAAGCGACCTTTAGAGGTCAATCCCCTCTGCAGTAAGCAGCATCATCTTCAACTAGATTTGCTGAGAGCCTCATTTGCTGAGAGCCTTATCTAACCTGGCCTTGAATGTTTCTAGGGCATTCACCACCTCTACGGACAACTTGTTCTAGTGTTTCACCACCTCATTGAACAAAACTTCTTCCTTAAGTCTAGCTTGAATCTACCCTCTTTTACTTTAAAACCATTACCTCTTGTCCTGTCACAGCAGTCACTGCCAAAATGTTTTAATGTAATGTTTTACAATTTCCTGTATCCCCATGAGAACAGGTTAAATCAACAGTTCACTGCAGAGCTGTGGAAAATCACCTGTTAGTTGTTTATTTGGTCTGCAAGTGGCATTCATGGGTCTGAGGTGAGCATCCATATATTATTTCTTGAAGCTCAACCTGCATCTCGATGGGATACAAGACAGCAGATGCACAGCTGGTGCCCAGGTGATAGCCTGGATGAAAATTTGCTCTGTAATTAAGTTTTCCTAAAAGAGTTGTGATAACGTATGTTTTGGTTTCTTTTCTGTCCCGGCTTGCAATGACTTCAGTGACCCTCTCCTGTCTGAGTAGTTGTTTTGTGGAATTGGAACAGATATTATTTCAGAAAGTCTATTATTTTTTGTGATATAACTGTCATGTACCATGACTATATTAGGTAACTGTCATAGGAAGACCATAAATATGAATACTTTTCCAGCTGCTTTTCCATTAAACTCTGTTAGCTGAATGAAATTAGTAAATAATTATGTTGGTGGGGAACCTGCTATATCGATGAGCTATGTAACAACTCACTTTTACAATGCAGCCTAATTTTTTCTATAGACTAAATTAGTTTTTGCATAATCTAAATTGCAAATTTTCCAATTTGCATTAAAACTATGCCTTCTTGTTCAGAATTGTCAACACCTCTTTTTTAAAAGTCTTTAACATTAAGCAT